AACGTTTTTTCAGCAACACGGATGGCACCTGTCTTTCGATAGGTCATTGCCTTTTACGGCGGCACGAAATAAATCAGGTGATCTTCTGGATCCGTGATCCCGTCGTATATTTTCAAGTATGGTGGCATCTTGAAGGTTTTAGGGATTGGGTGAGGAGCAGATTCCTCATTATATGGTTGCTCGACGAATCTTCCCATATCGCGTTTCGGCAGTAGCTTAGGGGCGCCAGGTATCTTATCTAGCCTCTCCTGGTGCTCCTTCATTTGATCACGAAGTGCTATATTCTCGTTCTCCATCTCCTCCATTTTCTTAAGGATGGCTGTGAGCGCATCGTTGCTTGTATTGGAGTCAGTGTGGGCGTTACCTGTTCGTGCAACGCTGGGCTCTCCGATGGTGGTGGTGATTTCTGCCATCGATGGATCTTTGATATTTCCCTGAGGTGGATTCTCGAGCATGCTACTTAGAGTGTTCGTCAACCATTCCTCTAGTAGTTTTTTGACTACTGGGGGGTGTTTCCTTTGCTGCAGATGTAGAAGTCCCTCTTTCATGCAAAATCGTTAGATCTTCGAGTGACGAGGGTGAGATCTCCCCCTCCGGTATGTTACTTGGTGTTATATTCGCGGTATTTTCTCTACCTGCTTCGTTGAGTGGGCCCACGAGGTTGGTTGAGACGTCTGCTATCATCTTCAACCTTGACTCTTTGTCTGCCATTTGTTAGTTTCTATGAGATCTGAAGAACAGCGATGGTTGTTTCTGATATCCTAGATGTGAACTATGATTTCGACTACCGAACCCCACAGACGACGCCAAATTGTTTGACCCAAAAGTAGTTTGATACTTTCTAAGCAAATCAATCAATGTAGATGAAGGGGTAAATCGTAGTTGAAGATAATAAACCCTAGGATGATCTTGAATATAGAATCAGATGACAATAATGTAAACAAGGTTAATGAGAAAAGGTGATAAACTTCTGAAAGATAAGAGAGATAATGTTACAGAGAGAGAAAAGAGAGAGATTGTATTTTCAGTAGTCCAAAAAGTCCCCCCTTTACAAGGCTTGGATCCTCTTTATATAATAGAGGATCCTTGCTCGAATATTAAAAGGCAGAAAATAAAATACATGTTATGGAGTGGGCGACGTGATCGTGGAGTCGTCCCTCTTGTTGCTCATAGGTCGCCCTTCTAGCCGGGCTTATGCACACTCGGTCGGTCGTGCTGGCTTGAAGAACGTAGTTGGTCAAATTCGACCCCATACAAAGTTCATGACAAGTTTGATATGAAAACTAAAGTAATAAAGTTAATTAAGATATAATTACTCCACTACTATTGTATGTAAGTTAAAGTCCAATTGCGCAAATAGTGAGCAAACAATTTCGGCCTTTAGACAACTTATTTGTTAAGTTTGTCCAATATTTAGTAGGATAAAAAGCAGCATAAACTCTAAATATAATACTACTCTATAAAGGTCATACGTGATCAAACTGTAAAAGGAAAGTACTGGGAAACAAAACAAAGAGGCGTACGCAAAGTTTATCTTAGCTATGTTTATTCATCATAATCGCATAATCACGTAGTGGACTTTATGTTTGACTAATTTAATTCTCTAGCATTATTTACATTTCTTATTTCTGCACCAAGCAAACCATCCAATTGGGAAATATAGGTGGGCGAGACGACTTGACAAAATTAAAGTAAGGATTATGCGAGATCTCTTTATTAGTTTCTCCATTTGTCCATTTCTTGGAAGCAACACAAAAAGAGACGTAAAGGTTAACTAAGGAGTGATTAGTTAACCATATGAGTAAGCTTTGATTTTTATTAATCTTGGTGGGTTCTGGCCTTTTAAATTTCTTGGCTTAAAGGCTTTACACAAGTTTAGTGAATGCAACTTAAACCTAACCCCATAATTAGAGGGATAAGTAATTTTATTTGCTGAAGGGTTAATTTGCTTTTTCTTTCGATTATTTCCTAACTACACTAAATAAGAGATTAGAAGCATATGTAAGCGGGAAACTGTCTATTTCCATCGATAGTAAGTCTTGTTCCTTAAAAAAAAAAAAAAAAAACTCATAACTGCATGTTTTACTCCATGATATTAACTCAAACCTCTCAGACTTCACTCCTATTCTTCCATTTTAAGCAAGTAAGAGGTCGAGAGAAACCTATATACAAAAAAAATGAGCTTGTACTTATTTCGCAAAACTAACATGCAAACTTATCGAAAACAATAAAGCTACAAAATTATTTTCTGACGACAGATTTAAAACGAAGCTCATTGTGCGAGAAGGAAACAGGATTATAACCCACTAATTGATCTCTTGGAAAAGTTTATTAATAATTCAATATAGAAACAATAAGGTGTTTTTGTTAATTAAGAAGTTTAGTCTAAAACTACAAATCCACATGTAAAATTTATCCATATTTGGAATAAACTTTACTAGATTTGATTTTATTATATAATATCTTTAATTAGTAGCACATGCCCTCCTAACAACTCGCTTTTGTCATAACGCTTGACAATTTCATTCACATAACAGACTAGCCCTTAAAGTTGATACCTTTTTAAAACTTCTAAATTGGCGGCCAACCATCTGTCAATACTTTCAAAGTACCCTCCTACCCATCCAAACATTAAAACCCAAAGTCTCACATTATGCACTACCTCCCTTCTTCTTCCAAAATTGCTCTAATATTATACGTAATATTTTCGTCAAAAGAATATGAAGCATGCACATGTAAAAGAGAGATGGAAAATGGCCCGAGGGAAAAAAAGAAAATGAAGAAAGTCATTAAGCGTGCAAGCAAATTGGAGTTTGTTAGGTGAGAAGGGAGAAAGAGAACTCTATCCACTTGCCAGGGAAGCCGACTGTCTGATCTGTTATACTTTATTCCCTCCATCTCTAATTAGTTGTGATGCTTTTTTTGTTTACACGACCCTTACAAATATTGGGTTTTGATTAGTTTAACTTTTTCTAATGTCTTAAGATTTAATCTTCATTGAATATTTATTTATTTATTTATGTGTCATCTCCAACTTCAAAAATAATTACTGTTAAGGATAAAATGAGAAAAAAATAATTAATTTATCTTGGACTTCTAAAATAATAATTTGAGACAACTATTTTTTTAAAAATCACGACAAATAATTTGAGAAGAAGGTAATAAATCATAATATAACACTACGATAATAATGGTATCCGGACCAATTTATATGCACCTTAACTAAATTTCATGTATTTGCTGCCTTCCATCAACATAAACTCTATCCACAATACTTAAACAGATGAAAAGACACATATTATATTTTGTCTTAATTAAAATTTGGACCAAAAACATAATTTTTCTCCGTCCATTTTATTAACCACGAGGCTACACTCACTATATGTTTTAAGATTAGTTTGATATCCTAGGACCCAAAAGGAAAAACCAACTTTACCCCACAAACAAAATATGAATATGCACCACCTAATAAATTGAAATTAAACACTAACACTTATCTATCAAATTGTTGGTATCCATCAATTTAATCGAACCTTCTCAATAAGAAATTAGTCACCCACTTTTGCTCCTAGTGGATTTCTACGCATTTCATTAATTTAAACTGAGAAAAAGAAAACAAGGAAAAAAAGAGGTAACCTGTCACTATGCGACAAAAGCGCGTATTTTTCTTTTGGGTATGGGCCCGTCTTAGACTTTGTTCCTCTCCAGAAAAGTCTTGTAAATATTTCTAGAACCTCCGTATTATATTTGCTGTCCCTTCATCTTTTCTCTTTCATTTCCTACTACTAGCTCCCATTAATATTTGTAATTCCATTATTCTGTAGTAGATTCACGTCCAAGTTTAATGAAGAGAGAAAACTGAAAAGGCAGAAAATTCCAGAGCCTTAGATTTAACCAAAGATAGTTATGGTCGTGTTGTTCTTGGTGAAGATTGGCAAAGTAGGAGCCAATGGAAGAAACTAAGATCATAATCAATCGCCCCAAAAACAACCTTGTTCATTCTATGGTTTTTCTCTTCGGTTTCTATGTTTGGGATTGGGAATTCCTCACTGCCCTTTTGCTTTTCAGTTATTGCTCCTTCTAATTTTCTCTAGCTAGGATCTTCTCATTTAATTTCTTTTTCATTTTCAACTAACTCATAATTAGCCCAAATCTTCAAAAGAGTTTTGTGTAAGTTCATAGACGTTTAGAGAAACAGAGGAATACAGGGGGAAAACAAGGAATGTCGCAGAGGACAGTTCCGGCGCCGTTTCTGACGAAGACGTACCAATTGGTAGATGATGCGACCACCGACGACGTCGTATCTTGGAACGAGAGCGGCACTACTTTTGTGGTATGGAAAACTGCTGAATTTGCAAAGGATTTGCTACCCACTTACTTTAAGCACAACAATTTCTCCAGCTTCGTTCGTCAGCTTAACACCTATGTACGTTCCTACCTTCGCCTCTTTTAATTTTCTCTTTAAATTGCTTATCAGTGATTAAATTCTTGATTATATATGTTTACTGTTCACTTCATCATCTTAGTTTCCACATGTAATTTTTTTGCGTATAATAACTTTTTTAATAGATCGGTTCTATTGTTTGAGCTGTTGATTAATTGGGTGCAGAATTTCTTTTAACCAATTACAATTTCCGATTGGATAACAAAGAAATGTATAAATATATATAGAGAAAGATATGATTCATTCCAACATGGAATATTTGGGGTCAATTGGTTTTATGGCTCCAAAAATCCTTTCTTTAGGTATAGAAAATAGATATTAACACTGAAAACATAGTTTCGGGCACTTTCTAGAAATCTACCCTGCAGGACTTGGTGTCAAATGGATATCTCATCTTTTACTGAGGCCTAATTTAAAGTCGTTATCATATTCTGTCACACGTGAAATATGTTTTTAGTTTCTTCCCATTTTTTAGAAATAGCGATAGTGTACCCTTTCGATGAGAGAAAAAGGAATATCCTGTTGAAATTAAGTATTTAAATTTAATGGTTACAATTCAAAGTGAGAATATTTATTAATGATATAAGTTGTTTATATTACATCAACGGAGTGTGGCCCTTTTTCGAAATCCTATACGACTTACATATTTTGATGTAATTTAAAATTTAAAATAACATATTTTAAGTATTGGGATAACGTAGGATTTTGAGCTAGGAAAACTGTAGAAAGAATGCCTCACCCTCACCTGCCGGAATTTACGTGAATGATCCTTGGGATTTTTGACATCTCATCGACGTGTCATAACCCGAAAAGATCCAAAGAAGGTCACAATTGGTGGCCGAACGATATATGTCCCTATCAGAACGTTCTACTGCTAATAAAATTGTCCTATCCGTAGCTGGAATTTGTTCACAGATATTTTTGTTTTTTCATAAATATAATATTATTATTACTATATTGAAGTTCAGAATTTACAAGATTTGGCTATTAAAAATATTGGTGATATTGTATTATAAGTGAAATAATTATTTTTATTTCTTTCCAATAAAGTTCATGTTTTAACTTTGGAATACTCTCTTCTACTTCAGCTCTAAGTATTCTTTTCTTTTTTTTTTTTGGTCTTCAGCAAAACGTTGTCGTCTACTCTCTACTTATGTTTTTCAATATTCCAATTTAACGGCGGAGAAAAAAGGGTGAACCTTCCTAACCACCCAGTGGTCAGAGAAATAAGGTTGTTATTGGACCTAACATGGTAAAATGTGAATCTGCAGTGTGAACATAGTTGGTCAATTCTAGCTGCATTGCTTTCGCGTAAGTTGGGCTATTATAATCATCCCAATCTTCCTAAGTGGTTTTAGTCTATCTTTAAGGCGTTTGTATAGCTGTCTTTTACCTAGTCTAACCCTCTAGAAGCAAATAAAGGCAAAAGTTCACTATCAACAAAGAGGCAATAAAGCAGTCGACAATTATTAAAATAAAGTTTAGAAAAAAAAAAAAGTGAATAAACAAGGGAGTTGACTAATTGAATCATACTCCAAGAAACTCATCTTGCTTTTTCTGGAGTACTTGCTTGCTCCCAACCAACATAGGTATCGAATAACTCTGTCCACTAAGGCTTGGAAAGATAGGAAAAATCAACCCATTTTATTGATCACTATATCGCGCCCTTGAGTGCATCTCACTTTGATGCCACTTGCAAACATCAAAGCCATGAGGATTGTATGTTTTTTCAACTTTATATTCGCCCCAAAGAGCAATCTTTTTCACTAAGGTGTGTTCGTGAAGCTTATGTGCCATAGCTTATGTTCAAATTACGAAAGGACTATTTCGAAGATAATTTAGATTCCTATAACATTGTGACTGTTTTTGGTCATAAAAACATTTTGATTTCATCATGCACTCAATATTTGCAGGGCTTCCGAAAGATTGTGCCAGACAAATGGGAATTCGCCAACGAAAACTTCAAAAGAGGACAGAAGGAGCTCCTCACAGCAATACGCCGTCGGAAAACTGTGACATCGACCCCAGCTGGTGGAAAGTCCGTGGCACCTGGCACTTCAGCATCTCCGGACAATTCGGGGGAAGACTTAGGTTCAAGTTCAACCTCATTCCCGGACTCTAAGAACCCGGGGTCTGTTGATACCCCGGGAAAGTCCCAATTCGCAGACTTGTCGGACGAAAACGAGAAGTTAAAGAAAGACAACCAGATGCTGAGCTCTGAGCTCGCGCAGGCCAAAAAACAATGCGACGAGCTAGTGGCTTTCTTGAATCAGTATGTGAAGGTTGCACCTGACATGATCAGCCGTATCATGAGCCAAGGAACCTCAGGGTCCAGCCATGGGGAGTTGGTCAAGGAGGTAATTGGTGTTGTTGAAGATTTAGAAGCACAAGGTAGTGATGATGATCAATATGATGACGAAAAGGGTGATACTCTGAAACTATTTGGTGTGCTATTGAAAGAGAACAAGAAAAAAAGGGGTCCAGACGATAATGCTGATATTTCTGGGTCCCGTGGGAAAATGGTGAAAACTGTGGACTACAATTTGCCTTGGATGAAAATGTCTTCGGCCCCTGGAGAGAGTAACAAGGTGTGTAACTGAAATTGTGATCCAAATATTAAGGGAAGCTGGAGAATGGACTTCTGCGGATTAGCTTCATCCTTTTGTTTTAGTGCCTGTTAGTTTACGAGTTCAGTGATATTACGAAATAACGGAGTATTTAGTATGAGCAGTATTGGGGTTAGATTACTACTAAGAGTACGAGCAGTAACCGCAACATATTTGTTTACTCTAAAATCCGAGTAACAATTAAACTTATATTGTGGTTTTAAAGATATGTGATTTAATTCAATGCTAATTGTTAAACAAGGAGTTAAATATATAAATTGAAGAAATAAAGCAAGCCAAATCAGTGTGCATGCCAAGTCTGGACCTCAAGTTATGGTGGCTTCGAGGTAGGTTAGTAAGAACAACAAAATTATAAGGCAACTCTGATAAATAGTAAGCAAGAAGGTGAAGGATGTATATTCCTTTTTCAATGAGTCGTGCGTTACAAATGAATGGGATCTATAGTAGAGAATTTTATTAGACAGCTGTCTAACTGTCAAGTACAAATCAGTTTCGGAATTTACGCCGAGATCTTCGGGCCATTGCGGGAATCTCGCTCTTTCGGTTACTAAACCATAATGGTATTATGTCGAGGTTGGTCATACTCGGCCTTGGTCTTCATCGAGAACTTCGGTCTTCAAGTTCTATCTCCGCCATCGGGCTCGAACCAGGTCCGTTTTGAGCTTTTCTCGAAGCAACTCTCCGAGCCTACGAAATCAGGCATGAACGTATACAGATAGTCCCCGCATTTCTTAGAATAAGATGATAAGAACTGATTTGAGCCTTGATTTTTCGGAGAACCTGATGATGACATCATCCGCGTGATGTAAGCGCTCGAAGTGACCAAAACGTCCAGTCGGTTCGCTTCCCCAAAACATTAAATGCTTGCCAGTGGCAGTCGGCCACTACTCATGTGGAGGGGTTATACTTACCCCTTCACACTGGGTCCTATCGACCTAGTCATCATTGACTTCTGCAAAAGGCACCAGGTCACCCTCAGCCAGATCCACCTCTCTTTTTGGCGCATAGTGATCATGCTCCGTTACTTCTCCAGCAAGGCCGACGGGCTAGAGTTCACCCTTAACCATCTTATCCGATGTATCGACCTCAGCTTTTTCGAGGGTTGATCAAGCTCCAACGCCGGTTGACCAAGGCCTTCTTTGCCAGCAACGACGAGGACAAAGATTGGGGTTGGATGAGCTGGTTCATTCGAGTGAGGACCTGCGATATCATCCCAGAAGAGAAAATGTTGTTCCCGGAGAAGTGGAACCCCAATCGTAAGTGAAGTTTGGTAGTCCTTTCATATTCTATTTTTGCATTGCGTGATGCCTTCTTCTTTTTTGCAGCTGTCACTTAGATGTCCAGTGCGATCACCAACCCCGAAGACTAGGTCCGAAAACAAGCCGTGACCTCCTCGTATAAGAACGCCGTTGGCGTGACTTGGCGACGGGAAGATGGGAAGACAAACATCATGGTAAGTTCGTCTTGTAAGCTTCTGATATTTTCCTCTTTATCAGAGATGTTTCCTTACTCATATCCAATTTTCCTTCGTGCAGGCATCGGAGACGTCTCTGAAATGAGGCCGGCACCACTTGGGGAAGAAACCTAGTCCCCGATTCCGAAATCGGGGAAAGATAATAATAATAAGAGGAAAAGGGTCTCGAGGCCGAAGATACCCAAAGCAAAAAGGGCTCCAGCTCGAAGACGCAGGAGGAAACTCATGCCTGTGGATATAGACTCAGTCCACCAGCTGGATGATGAAGAAGAAGAAGACAAGGGCGAAGACTCACCGCTGGTGGTTCGAACCAGGAAATCGGTTGTAGTTGCCAAGCCCTCCGAGCCAAAAATTATGCCTCGTGATGAAGAGGCTCCGAAGAAAGATGCAGGCAAGGCCCTTGAATCGCCCGAGGTCGAGATTGTCCCTCGGCCATCAACAAGCACGACGAAGGGGGCGGGTTTCGAAATCCCCAGTACTGAATAGAACACCCCGAGTTACTTGCTCGGGTCCATGACAATGATCCACTCTTCCTCTTTATCGGCTTATTCCGAAGAAGCCATAAGGGAGCTCGGGCTATGCAGACACCTGACTTGGGTGGGGTCCCCAGTGAAGAGGATCCCTTCCCGGATTGCTTTACCGGGGTTGATAATGCCGCCGATCTCAACGACGCATATACCCTCTTTGAAGAGGCTCATCGTCTTTTCTCCCGAGTAAGCATTAATCCCTAGTGTTGCGATTTTCTTTTTCTTGTTCTCCCTTTACCCTAACTAATATCCCTTTTTCTGTGTAGGCTTTCACCAATTTTAGGGCCGATCTGAGCCAATGTGAGGCCGAGCTCCAGAAGACCTCGGATGAAAGGAACGCTTTCAAGCTCCTTTACAGTCAAAAGGAGGAGGAGCTTAGGGACCTCCAGACAGACTTGGCCAAGGCTCGTAAGGATGAGGCTGAGCTAGAAAAACAGGTAACTATCATTTTGAAAGAGTTCGGTCTACTCGACCCAACTGTGGAGGCTAATACTTCAATGTATCGGCTGCAGCAAAAGCTGGATAGGATCGAGCTGCTTCGCAGGGAGGTCAATCAAGTCAAGGCTGATTACAATCGGCAGAAAGAGAATATGGACCGTCTTGCTGCGGAGAAGGAGGCTGCTTTATCCAAACAAGCATCAGCTGAGGCCCAACTCCGGGGTGCTAAAGAGAATAGTTCGGCCTTGGCCAAAAGGATTGACAAGCTCGAGGTCAAGCTTGTTGAGGCCATGGCTGAGGTCGATAAGACGAAGGTCACGGCTGACAAAACCATTGCCGTATACTTAAGGGATGCTGAGGCTACACAAACGCAGCTAAGGGAAGCCTCCGACCGCGAGCGATTGTGTAATGATTTGGCTAGGTGCCAATCCCGGAGGGAGACCCTCGAGTAAATCCATGCTCGAGGTTACGACCTCATTGAAGAGATAGCTCAGGGAAAGGCGCTCGAAGTTGATGCCGGATTTCTCTTCTCCTCCTCCTCCTCCGATGATGAAGAAGGCAGCAAAGGCGGGTCTGATAATGATGAAGGGCCCGAACAGGAAGCTGCTCCCGAGGGAGAAACCAACCCCGGGCATAGTTAGGATTTTTTCTTTTTGTATGTTTCTTTTTCTTTTTGTAAGACCTCTTGTCAGTCTCTTGTACATATCTTTTTTCAAATATAAAAGAAAAATTTTCGTGAATGCCTTCTCAGTTTTTATGAACATGTTTTATGCCTTGCAAAATTCTAGCATAGTTTCATGCTTTGAACGGCGTGTTCGAGACTTTGTCTCGGATGGCCTCCTTGAATTTGTCATGGTCGAGTTCGAATAAGGTTCAAACTTTGGGGCATAGACCCTTAAGGGCATGTGCCGGATAGCGCTGAGTCCCCGAGCCATAATCAAGTTATTGTATGTTTGGGCTCGGGATACTCGAACCCTTGGGTTCGGATTGGGTGAGAGCAAGATCTCGAACCCTAAGTGTTTTGTCCCTTAGGCTCTTTTTAAATCGGGCCGCTATGGCCTGTAAAAGATGGCTATTATTCTCCCTTTTTGGCTTGAAAGACTTAGTAATAAATTTCTTTATGCCTTAGCATGTATTTTTTACCCATTGGGTTTTTTGAGGGTTCGATGCCGATTAAGACCCCTTTGTTTTTTGTGCCTTAGCACGCTTGATACCTCTTAAGATTTTTCGAGCGTTGATTTTATCGAAGCCCCTTTTTAGTCATTTGCCGGGGATAGCCTTTTAACCGGTTTTTTCAAAGTATTTTAAGGCCTATTGCTTATTGGGAGGTTCGAACGTCTCGGAGTCGCGTTATTTCGGCCGTAGCCTTCAATATGGCCGTAGCCTTCGGGTATGCCTCTTGGACTTATTCCCTGATAACATTTTGAACTTGTTCGAAATATCAGTCCCCGAATACTATGGCCTTGGCCTATATGTCGAGGGGTGCCTCTTTGAGGTCTTATGAATTCGAGTTTAGATAACTCGAATGTGTTGACTGGCGATGACAGTCCCCGAGTATTCGTAGTGTATTTGTGTTTGGCCCTTGAGCCATTTCTCACAGAATCACAAGTATAGAGCTCATATAGTAGCAAATTTCTTTGAGACACAAAGCGTTTTATATAGAAAGAATGCTTCTTTGAATAATTCATACATGCATACATGTTTTTCCATTGGGACTCGACCATTCTATATGGACACGGTTCATCCGACCATTTGGCCCATTACAAGGTTTTCCTATCGAGACCCTTTTTGGCATGAAGTATTTTTCTCGACAATATAACCTCCGAGGGTGATGCCCCCCAGTATTCGAGGTTAATTGAAAAGAAGTCTTGGATACTCTTGAATTTTCCATAGGTAGCACATAGTTGTTGCCTCGTTAAAAACCTCGTCGGAAAAACTCATTTGGGATAAAACTCGATCTAAGAGAAAAAGAGTGCAACGTGTGCTTTAAAACCTAAGGTCTTCGTGTAGAAGAGTTTTCTCGACGTCTTCGATCGAACACCTGCAATAAGTTAGTACCAAATACAAATTGAAAAAGGGAGAAAGTCATACATCAGCAATAATATCGTTTGAGTAGTGATGCAATTATCCACCCTCCATTGTGCTGAGTTTGTAAGATCCCTTTCCGATGATACCGATAACTCGATATGGTCCTTCCCAATTTGGGCCTAGTTTCCCTTCATTTGGGTCTTGAGTATTGAGGGTGACTTTCCTTAGAACTAAGTCTCTAATTCTGAAGTGGCGAAGGTTGGTTCTTCTATTGTAATATCTCTCGATTCTTTGCTTCTGTACAGCCATCCGAACAAGTGCAGCTTCTCGTTTTTTCGTCCAATAGTTCGAGTCTAGTATTCATAGCCTCGTGGTTTGATTCCTCCATTGCATGTCAAAATCTGGCGTTAGGTTCCCCGACATCGACTGGAATTAAGGTCTCGAAGTCATATACTAAGGAGAACGGGGCTGCCCCCGTGCTGGACTTCGATGTTGTTCGATACGCCCAAAGAACTTCGCGTAGAACTTCTCTCCATTTCCCCTTGGCGTCGTTCAACCTTTTCTTTAAGTTTTGAATGATAGTCTTGTTTGTCGATTCGGCCTGTCCGTTTCCCCTCAGGTGATAAGGCGTTGATAAAATCCTTTTTATTTTGTGTTCTTCGAGGAACTTCGTTACCTTGCTGCCGATGAATTGCTTTCCATTGTCGCATACGATTTCGGCAGGTATCCTGAATCGACACACGATGTGGTCCCAGATGAAGTCTATAACTTCTTTTTCTCTGACCTTTTCGAAGGCATATGCTTCCACCCATTTAGAAAAGTATTCAGTCACAAACAAAATGAATTTAGCTTTACCTGGGGCCATTGGTAGAGGTCCAACGATGTCCATTCCCCATTTCATGAATGGCCGTGGGGATAAGACTGAATGAAGTTGTTTTGGGGCTGATGAACCATCGGTGCAAACCTTTGACATTTATCACATTTTCGAACAAACTCTTTAGTGTCTTTTTCCATGTTATCCCAGTAATACCCTGCTCTAACGATTTTGCAAATCAAAGACTCGGCGCCAGAGTGGTTTCCACAAGTGCCTTCGTCGATCTCTCGTAAAACATAATCGGTGTCCCCTTGCCTAAACATACCACCAATGGTCCATCGAACGCCCTTCTGTATAGTGTTCCATTTTCATCCAATGTGAACCGAGCAGATTTGGTTCGTAAGGCCCTCAACTCTTTATGGTCTGATGGGAGCCTTCCATTCTTTAAATATTAAATGTATTTATTCCTCCAATCCCAAGTCAAACTTGTAGAATTTATTTCGGCATGACCCTCATCGACCACAGATCTCGATAATTGGACGACAGTCCCCGAGATAATATCATCTTCCTCGACTGATGATCCCAAGTTTGCAAGTGCATCAGCCTCACTGTTTTGTTCTCGAGGTACATGGTCTAGAGTCCACTCTTTGAAGCGGTGTTACCTGTATCTTGTCCAAATACCTCCGCATCCTGTCCTCTCAAACTTCGAAGCTTTTGTTTACTTGGTTCACCACCAATAAAGAGTCACACTTGGCTTAAATGACTTTTGCCCCCAAGCCTTTGGCTAGCTCGAGACCTGCAATCATGTCCTGGTACTCGGCCTCATTGTTAGTCAGCCTAGAAGTTTTGATAGACTGCCTAATAGTGTTACCTGTGGGTGGCTTCAAAACGATGCCTAGCCCGAACCCCTTCACATTAGAAGCGCCGTCTGTGGAAAGGGTCCATACCCACGATGATATGCCCGATTTTAACAAGAGCTCCCTTTCAACTTCGGGCACGAGGGTTGGTGTGAAATCGGCCACGAAGTTCGCTAAAATTTGAGACTTGATGGTCGTTCGGGGTTAGTACTCGATATCGTACCCACTGAGTTCGTCGGCCCATTTGGCCAATCGACCCGAAAGTTCGGGTTTGTGAAAGATATTACGAAGTGGGTAAGTGGTTAACACACATATGGGGTGACATTGAAAGTATGGTTTCAGCTTTTTAGAAGCGCTTATTAGTGCTAGTGCTAATTTCTCTAAGTGTGGATATCTAGTTTCTGCTTCCCCTAAGGTTCGACTTACATAGTAAACAGAAAATTACGTACCTTGGTCTTCTCGAACTAGGACACCACTTACCGCGATTTTCGATACAGCCAAATATAAGTAGAGTTTCTCATCGGCCTTCGGGGTGTAAAGCAATGGTGGGCTCGATAAGTATCGTTTTAATTCCTCTAATGCTTGTTGACACTTCGGGGTCTATGTGAAATCATTCTTCTTCTTGAGTAGAGAGAAAAGTGTGTGGCTTCGATATGATAACCTCGAGATAAATCGGCCTAGAGAAGCTATCTGTCCGGTTAGCCTCTGCACGGCTTTTACGCTGTCCATGATGGTGATATGTTTGATGGCCTTGATTTTATCGGGGTTGGTTTCGATCCCCCGATTTGACACCATAAATCCTAGGAACTTGCCTGAGCTGACCCTGAAAGCATATTTCTCGGGGTTGAATTTCATGTTATATTTCCTCAAAATCTCGAACGTTTCCTAAATGAGCCAAATGGTCCTCTGCGTGCAGGGACTTAACTAGCATGTCATAAATATAAACTTCCATTGACTTACCTATTTGTTCTTCGGACATCTTATTTACTATGCGGTGGTAAGTAGCTCCTGCATTTTTTAGCCCGAAGGGCGTTACATTGTAACAATATGTTCCATACTTGGTGATAAACGAGGTCTTCTCCTGGTCTTCCAGGTTCATCTGAATTTGATTGTACCCAGAATAGGCGTCGATAAAGGTAAGGATCTCATGGCCAACCGTGGCATCGATCATGCGATCGATGTTAGGCAGTGGAAAAGAGTCTTTTGGTCATGTATTGTTCAAATCTTTGTAATCTACGCACATTCTAAGTTTGTTCCCTTTTTTAAGGACTACGACTATATTGGCTAACCATTCGGGGTATTTACTTCCCGAATGGACCCTATTTTAAGAAGTTTAGTTACCTTATCCTTTATGAATGCATGGATTACCTCAGACTGGGGCCTTCTCTTTTTCTTCACCGGTTTGAACCTGGGGTCGATGCTTAGGCAGTGTGTTGTTATCTCCGGTGGGATCCCTGTCATGTCTAAATGGGACCAAGCAAAACAATCCATATTATCGGTAAGAAATTGAATAAGTTTTTTCCTGAGTTCGGGGGTTAACCCCGTTCGCAGGTATACCTTTCGCTTGGGCAGGTACTCGATCAATATAACTTGTTCCAGCTCCTCGATCGTTGATTTGGTGGCGCTGGAGTCTCTGGGTACAATTAAGGTTCGAGGAGTCAGAAAGTCCTCTTTTTCTTCTTCTATCTCCTGTTTTCCCGATTCGGTCGGGGCTGGTGGCTGTGATTGCTATTTGGTTTTCTGTTTACCTTTAATGCTCGATCTTTCTGAGGTTGATAACGTTGATAGCCGTATTACCTCGTCAATTGCAAATATTTTCTTTGCAGCATGTTGCTACCCGTATACTGTTTCATGCCATCCGACGTCGGGAATTTCATCATTTGGTGAAGAGTCGAAGGAACTGCTCTCATGTTGTGGTTCCAAGGCCTCCCGAGTAGGGCATTGTACCTCATGTCACCCTTCATCACGTGG